TATTAAAGTCTAATACATACGTAATTAAAACTTGTACAGAAATTAGAGGTTTGTTTCTCCATAGATGACTTCGAAAACATAAAATTATTTAATGCTTTGAAATTAGTATTTCAAGCGCGAATATTTTACAACATTTTTAATGTTATGAGGTACGGATATGTTGAGAAGTAAGATGTACTGAGGCTTACGAATGGTTATGGGAAGTAAACATTCGTTTCGTTTCGCCTAGCAGTGCGTTTGATACCCAATCGGACAGATGGGAAGAGCAAATCTGCGTGTCGTCCCAAGTAGCCGACGTCGTTGAGGCGACAGTTTCGGTTGAAAAGACCGCGGGTTCTAATTTTGCCCCGGGAATGAATCTTGTGCCATGGACACTCTCAAACATTACACATGGACACACTCACACATGGAGTCTCTCAAACCTTACGTGTTATGGGATGGCGGTAGTGACGTAGTTCGCAGGAGGGGGGTGGTAGAGGTGCTGATCCGCCCCGGGGGACACAATTTTAGAGGTGTAACCAATTAGAAAATATTAGAGTTGGAATTATATATTTTGAATGATTTATTTAAATATATATATATATATATATATATATATATATATATATATATAGTATGCGTGCATGTGTATACAATAGTTATATATTTGAATCATAAATACTAGGAAGCAAAGAAAAGAAATAATGTAAACTAAAACGCGAAAGTATAAGCGGAAGCCTATTCTTCAATTGTCAGAGTCTCGATTTCAACGATTACTTTATGTTAATGTGTGATCTGTTGAAGGAGATAAGAGGTCCTACGAACACTATCATATGTATACATGCATTTTATTATAGTATAAACTATTCAGTAATATATCGTTTCAATATTTAATTTAGGAGGTTGATAGCATAATTTTTGTCCCGGATGACACCAACTGAGCTACGCCACTACATAGGACTCTCTCGACCACCTTGTAGCTTCCTTCAACTCTCTGCCTTCAATTTTCCACTTTCTACAGTAACAATAATCTCACCCGTTATACGTCTACGGGCTAAACGAACGGCACATTCAAGGTGGTGGCTCCCTTACCCTTAGAAGGGCCAACGGGGGATATCTCGGAAAATATAGTTCAGAGACAGGCCTAGATGGGTCAAAGGGAACCTCGAAAACAGGAAATGAGAGCAGGCCGATATGCTGTGTGGGATGATGTACTCCGCAGAGTGTGTCCCACAGAATGTCCCACACGAGTTCACTTCGGCGTCGAAAACAGGCACCATACCGTGAGAAGTACTGCAATGGAAAGATAAATAGGTCTACGACGGCTGGGAGGAGGTAATAAATACCTGAGGAATATGAAGAGACCTTAATTTTTTAAGTACAAATTCGTCATTCATGTACTTTCAAAACGGATCTCGTCAATTCCTTTCAAATTGAGCCATGATTTTTCCATTCAGTCTTTACTATGTTATTCCACAATTCGCGCGCATTTCGTGGAATTCATCCTAACGACGGGGGAAAAGCTTTTATTTTCTAAGAGATTCTACATACTAAGAAAAACATGACGTAGAAGAAAATGGAACAAGAGGTACCACTCGACTCTCATTAGCTCCGAAAGATCACGATACCTACTACATGCGTTCTTCGTAATACCACAAGGGTCGACGTTAATGGGATACTGCATTTCTCTCTCTTCATTCTTTCAAGGTCTATTATGAGAAAGTGACGTTTCTTATGACACTTAAATTAAGAGTAAAGGGAAAGTGTTATGTGCGACGCTCGCCGGGCTCATGCTGGTGGTCATGTTGGTGCAACCGTCCTCAGTAGGGCCCGCGCGGCATTTTTCTACAGAAATGTCCATTGGGTCTTCTAGAAAACCAGCGACCAGCTTTACATGTTACCGGTCACCGGTCACTTTCTTTCAGTCGTCGCACGGCGGAAGCCCAAATCCAGAAATATTGGCCCATTACCGAAATATAATATTGCTTTCAAGAGATTTTTTGTGAGACATAGTTTTAAGGTCTCAAAAATAATATTTAAAAAATCCCGATCTTAGATTAATGAGTTTGTAATTATCTACAAAGTATTTTGCACAATTATCTACAAAATTACTTTATTTCAATTAAAAATCCTTCATTATAAATCATGAGTCATCGAAATTCGTCCACGTACTGAATTTTAATTCTATATAATGAATACTTTCCTTCAATAAATGTGGAAAATTAACGTATATATTCAAAATATATGTTATATTATAAATAGGAAGCATGGTTTATATCATAAATAGGAAGCATTATACAAATACTTTCTATAAAGATAAATAACAAAGCCAATTTGAGATTCGAAGAAGAGTAGCAATGACTTTCTTCGGGTTTTGAATTTTTACATGACAAACTAAATAGAAATCACAATCCGCAATTTTGATACGTTTTACCTGTGCCGACTTTATTCATCCATTCCTTTCCAGCGACCTTGAATACGTCTGGGCGCAAACTTTTGCACTTAGAACTCGGGCTTCGTCCGCGCTGGCAGCAGAGATATTGTGGTAATCCATATTTATTATTAAATAAGGATCGAGAAGGTATCTAAGATACCTCTCCCCTATGATCGAGATTTTTAAATGACCATTTTGACTTCTTAAAATATACATTATAGTATATTTAAAATATATTATCTTATGACATATATTGCGACAAATATGCGAAATAACATGCCGTCACCACTGTAAATACTCGTAGGTATCACCCCCTTCATCCTTAACTAAAAATCATAATTTCTTATTGACGTACGAAGATTTTGTCGGTCGCATTCAATTGATAAACCCCTCGCCCTTTTCCAATGCGTTTGCCCAATAGAAACGCTTGAATCATTTGCCCAGTTTTTAGGCATCTTACTGCAGGCGCTTCACCCGTCTGTGGGAGCCATTGCACAACACTTGGGATGAGGTCCAGGATGTGCAGGGAATCTAAGTGCGAAAGCGACTACGTCTCGGACTCTTCGTTGGTGTTGACGGATCCTCTCATCACGTTGTTCTCAACCTTCTCGAAGTTCCTGCGAAATAACATGCCGTCACCATTGCAAATAGCGTCGGTGTTCATTGGTGGACACGTCGATTCAAATCGACGTATGCTGCTCATGTTTCCTCTGTGAAATCCTTCTCGTTTAGTGCGCCTTTTTGCGTCACTTACTTTTAACTTCTTTCTTGGGTAACCCTGAAGAGTACAAGTGAATACGCAGGAGTTTGCGTAAGGCCGTCTTCTCTTACAATAACAGATTTGGGTAATGCTGTTTAAGAAATCAACTCATTTCAAGTAAATGATTTGCTTCTAAAATTGTTTTTTTCCTTTAAGCAACGACTATTATGAAACTTTTTCTATTTTTCCTGAAAAGAAATGTAAAAAAACAACTTTTTTCGCCTCTTGTTTCTAAGATTTTAAAATTCTTTTAAATTATATAAAATATACTGATTTGTGTCTGAAAAGAATTATTGAAGAGATTTATTGGCTATGTAAAAGAAAATTGATGAATCCAATAAGATGAATTTAAATTTTACAAAATGTTTCAGAAATTCTATCTACATTACTTCCTCGTCAGTGTATGTATAGCGCTAAGCGCATAATGTGTAAAATATTATCATAACTTTTATAATTCTCATTTACAGTCATCTACGTTCACGTACATCACGATAAAATAAAAAAGTAAGAAAACGCATAAATTGTTTCTACAGGTTAGAAAAAACTCTTCAACGGTGAGAAAATGTCTATGCAAACCTCTCTAGTTTAGCATCTACCTTGTGCTTACCGTTTCGTTTACATGGAATTGTTTATTGTCTCCCACGTACTGAAAAAACTATACGTGCTGTAAACCGGTTGAATGATCTCAAAGTTTATTTCACCACACTCGATGAGTTCAAAGTCCAATAATGTCAATACTCATGTTCACCCATTTTTTTTACTTGAAGTCGGTCGATCAGGAGGGCGTTCATCTTATTCATGACAAACTCTCTGTCTTTTTTTACTGCAAACAGACGAAAAACGCACAGAACTGAATTATAAATTATAAAACTTTGTCCTTGTCTCTTTTTCTTCATTTTGGGTTAACCCAACACGAAACTCAACCGTAACAAACGGGGCCTCACGGATGCATCCCAGATTTTCGATGATTATCGTAGATTTTCCTATTCAATGGGGATGGGTCCCATAAGAAACGATAAGGATGGGTGACCAGCACAACACCTCATCATGAGGATTGAGTAGGTTCAGGGTGGGGAAGAAAGGATCGTGCGGGCATTCCGAGGCCCGTTGGCGATGGTGTCGCTTAGGCGTTTTCCTAGATGGGATCATTACACCCGGGTGGAGGTGGCTGTGATATCCCCCCGTTGGCCGGCTAGATCCGACGCCGACCTCAGTCCGCTTGCAGCGATTTTCCCCAACCAGGTATCTCCCATCAGCGGGACACAGCCCCAGTCGAGACAATCTCCATGCTTCCGAACAGTCTCCGACTCGAGTGCTAGTGTGGTGCGTGTTATTGGGTGTGTGTTTGTTTGTGTGTAAGTAAGTTTTGAAGACAGGACAAGGAAGAGGAAAAAAATATTCCGAGCGGTTCGTGGCCCGTTTGTTAGGATTCCGGTCCGGAATTGATCCCGTGGATTGATTGGAGAAACCACTGACAACTACCGACCAGAGGCGCCCGCCGCTGGAATTCTCTTTCAGACGGCAGCAGAATTCGATCCAGCTGTCTACCTAGTGTCAACAATCCTGCCACCGCCGCGACCCGAACCCCAGGACCGGCTGTTCAAAGGCACTGCAGTAATATCAGTTGGCGTCGTGGCGAACCTTTGTCGGTGCAAATATTTGTCACCCGCCGCCAGTCGAATCCGCGATCTTCCACCCGCCGGTACCCTTGATCGCCACTTGCCCAAAAGATCTTTCACTTCTGCATCGTTTTCGAAATGAGCCACTGGTGCTAGTAAACGGGTTTATACACACAGAAGACATGAGGAAAGAGTGCGATGTACTTACCTGAGGCCGCCACCTCGGCCACGGGCTTCTCTTGCTCGTGAGCCATGAAACCCACGACGGAGAAGATTACGAAGCCCGCGAACACACTGGTGCTCGAGTTGATAGAGCACACGATGAGCGCGTCCCTGTTCACACACACGCACACACACACAGTATTAGACAGATCTGTGTAGCAAAGGTTCATTACCAGTAAAAATATTCCTTGTACGAAATACGAAAGAACAATATGTACATTAAATTACAGAAAGCAAAAATTTAGATTTATTGAAACAATTAGTTCTGAGTATATGGGTATTGGCGGAGACCATAAAACATTTCTTATTTACTTATGAAAATGACGAGTGGTCTTTAGAAGATGCATGTATTAGATGAAGGGTTGTGTGTTGTAGGATACAACATTATTGGCTTTCATTATTTACAGCTTCTATCTGCAAAACGGGTTCACTAAATGTTAGTTAATAAGAATTCGAACTATCTAGCAAGAATTGTAAGCGACACTGCCCCGTCGCTCCTAAGTGAAGATGTTTTCTCATTGATAAATTATTAATATTCAATTAAAATACGTAATCGATTGACATTTTCCAAATAAATAACAGTTCTCAATAATAAAAATTAAGATTGATGATTGGGATGTAAGAAATCATAATTTATGCAGATGCACTTTGGGGAGGTAAAGATTTGCTCCACAAATAAATGTATTGATTTAAGGGGGGTTTAAGCCGGTAAAATAGAAATGACATTACTGCGGGCCGACTATGAAAAATAAATTTAAAAATGTTGGTATTACTCTTCATCGACAATGCACGACAGTAACCTAGGTTATGGTAAAATAAACTATAATGTTTATTTCATCCGCACCAGTGAATATTGAAAAGGTGTCGTAAATTATTTTTCAATATATCTTGAAAAGATTTAAAGCGAATATACATACGTATTATAAAACGTTTATTACTATTATTTTACGTTTATTATTATTATTATTATTATTGTTATTATTATTATTAATGTTATTTTTATTACTATTGTTATTATTAATATTGTTACGTATATTATTACGTTTATTTAATGCCAATTCGATATTATGCTCATTTTGTATGTACCTTAAGAAACACCAGTGCATATATTTTTGCAATTTGTTAGAATGTAAAAATTGGAATACTATTAAGCATTAGTTTCTACATATAAATTTGTAAAAGGCTTGTGAAGAAGTAAATATTAATCAGAAGCAATGTGTCCTTAATTACAATAAATTACCTTATGCTGGCCGTATATTTTATCGTACACTTTTGCCACACATATCACATCCAGTTTTTACTATTTTTTAAGATACACAAATCAGGAAATGGCGCAATTGTGATGAACGTTATAATGAGCGTGCTCCACTGCAACATCTTCTTACTGCGGCCGTCGTCTGGTTTCCTCGTAGAGCATGCGCGTTGGGATGTGATTATTACTAAATGACCGGTACTATGTTGAGTAATTGGGCCTACTTCATAACATCGTTCAAGTACGCGGAGCCGCAAGATGCCTGTTCGAGTCCCGTGTATATTATAGGCGTGTCCACCACATAGTTGTGGCATGGTTGGATTATTATTATTACCAACACGAATCTTATTTGAACATCATCCCATTCTTCTTCTGTGCTGTTGCCCTCAATCATCTCATTAAGACTATCAAATTTCCAACAGTGAAAAGTAATGGAGAAGCAAGTACTGTAATTGCCCATCAGGGAAAGGGTGAGGAGGTAAACTGTGGGTAAGCGTTGTCCCGAGACAAATCAAAAATGATTTCGACCCACATCATCAAAGCCTTGCCGCTCAGGGTAGCTACCTTTTCTCTAATCGTAAAGCCAGGTTCATTATTCTCCTAGGATCGTATTGAGCGAGCCGCAGCCAACCCAGTCTTCCATCTCTCTTGGCCAGGTTGAATATGCCCTCTGCAGTACTCACATGCAGATGAAGGAACTGTTTCACTACCTCTCTGATTTCACCGTCCGCTTCTCTCAGCATCGATAAAACCAGTTTCTAGAAGTAATGGGCCATTATGTAGTAATGAAGTAATGCCAACTTCTGAGTGAGCTTTCAAAGCGCCTTCTCAAACCTCGTCACAGTTTCCATCAAATTAGACATAGATGCGTTAGATGGTAACCCGTTCCAAATAGAGTAGTTCCCTCTCAGCTATGTTAAGTTATTATTATTACTGACCAGAGGAATTCTTTCCCTAACCTTTCCAAATGGGAGCCTTCAATGCACAGCATCGTTCAAAAGGTGCAATTTGAAACGTTGAACAATTAGCTATGGACATCGTTATTCCGAGGGCCTCCTGAGGCATCTTTTACACCAGATCGTCAGCAAATACTAACAAAGACACAATTGTTTGCAATAGCGGGTATCCGGCCGTGTTTTACAATTTCTCAAGCAGACATTCCATAATGATATTAAAAAGGCATGGGGACAAGGGGTGATCCTTTATAAATCCCCCACGGTGTGGCTCCTCGATGCCTTTCGACGGGTGCTGAATGCTAGCCAAAACGTCAGCGGACAAGTCCATTCCAAAATGAATAAAGGCGTTGGGAACCCTTTACTGGAGAAAACCCACTGAATCGACGCGTGAAGAACTGCGTTGAATACTTTGGATATCTTTACCACAGCACCGACACCCCCCTCCCGTTTTGATCATGCCACAGACTGCTTTGTGCAGAATTTTAACATTAGCGAAACAGCATGTTTCCGGGATAAATCCTTTTTGGCGTGGATTGAACTTAACCGCAGATCGAATGCGTTTGTTCATAAAGCCCCAAATTATTCTGCACAACAGAGAACTGGTCGTGAAGAGGTGATCATTAGTTAGAAGCTTATTAGGCTTACCCTCTTTTGGGATAAGGGTTATAGATAACATTAAATGAAGTAATTTACAACAAACGGGAAGGCGCTTTATCTACTTTTTTGTTAACAGGGACTGCAATAAGAGTTTTTCTACTGAAAAATCGCCGATTTCAGGCGTACGATTACAATACTTTCTGTTCTTACAATGTAAGACGAGAAAGTAATAGCAGGAAAATAATAGCACAAAAAATATATGGATATGTAATTAGTTAAAAGAATTATGTGAAACAATGGAAGTATGGAGCTGAGAGGTTAATCTGTAGTAAATATTGAGAAATTATTTATTAACCTTTTTCGAAAGTATATATCATCAAAGCTTAAAACTAGCACAAAAACAATTCGATCCCAATAATGTATACAAGCCACGTTTTGACAGCCGGTCGATACGTAAACATGAGCCTAGAGAACGAAACTTACAAATTAACTTTCGCTAGTGAACATAACATGATCAACAGTTTTCGTTAATCGGCGAGTGAATTTGGAATGCTGAGGCTGGTCGCTTTCATACTCCTTCATTTCCTAGCACCTGGACGTTTGCCAACGCTCTCGGAGTTGCAGTACTGCTTTTCTTGAGCACTCGCTGTGACTTCTCGCGTTATGCCGACCAGTTTTTTAGCATTCGGTTGTGAAGTGGAGAAAATGGCCCCAGGAACGTCTTCCTGCATTCATCAGTCATAATTAATTAACTTAGCATTATGACTATCTCATTTCTCCATGCCTTGAGAGATCTTTCAGTTATTTTTTAACAAATATGGGTAGTAATAAACACTGATCTTTCGCCAGACTGATGTATTAAAAAAACGTTTTCTGCTATAAATCTAAAAATACAAAAATTGGTACAAAATTTCGTAAGTGTGGGAGTTGGTGACAAACAGATCAAATCTTATTTGTTTATCGTCAATAAACAGTTAAAAGTTAGAAATTTAACAGCTAAAAACTGTGTACTGCGGCGTGTTAACAAGTCTATTACGGAGGACCAGTGCTATGTTTGTACATCAATATCATCCATGAGACTGCTGGAATACAACATTACAGAGGAAAAGCAAGTGGATAAATTATGAAGTGTATAGGCTACTGTAACTTTGAAGACATGCATTCATGTGTTTTATAATTCGAGGTGACAACATGCCAAATTACTGAAGCTTCTGACGTATTCATACGTAGTATACAGTTAGTATAGAGTATAGAATATAAATAGTATAGAGAAAGTTATGTAATGCTGCGGAAAATCGATCTCGAAATGTCAACGGAAATACACGTTTAGGGGTCCCTAGTACCGAAAAAGTGTTTAGTTTTATCCGTCCGCCTGCCGCCTTTCTGATCTTCTATTGCTTAGGTTACAGGACTGACGTTACCACGGGAAAAAGAAATGTCAACCACATACTAATTTCATTCGGAGAAGGCATTATTGGCATTATATAAAACAAAAATAAATTTTACTTACAAAAATTGTTTTTTACTCACTAGCTGATGTATAACAGATTAATTATTTGCAATTATTATTATTTTATAAAACCGTTACAAACTGTACGAAGAACCGTGTTATGAAGCCACTAGTTTATATCGTTATCCACCTTGAATGTAAGGCCTAATATAGATAATTTTTAAGTTAAAGTGTTAACTAATGGACTAAAATGTGTAATGGAGTTTTCTTGTCAAATAGTCAGCAAAGTAAGATTGTTATGTTATATAGATCTAAAAATATGGAATAAAATAATTATACATTAAAAAGGATGGGGAATTTTTCTCTTGCGCGATATCGAAATATATAGGCATTTTTATTTATTCGTCGTAATACTCAGCTTACTTTTCGAATTTCATTATTCCTCTGTACAATTAATATAAATGTCCTAAACTAAAATATTTCATTTTGTGATATTTTCTCATAATTTCCTGCTGTAAAGAATTTCGAAAATTCCCACATAGTTTATTTCATATAAATTGCATAACCTTGCTACACACTGAATGAAGCACATAATAAACCATTAAAAATAAAACATTATTTAGTCATTGCATTCTCTCTCGCTTGGAAATCATTGTCAATATTTTATTCGTGTTTGTGGTAATTGTATTTATCATTCAACTATGTATAGTAAAAGATTGGGTGTACTGTTTATGGAGCTCAAGAACATGTGCACAGATTACAATTCTGCTCCGTACCAAACACAGTTTTTTCTTTTTTTTTTGTTGTGTTTTACGGAAATAAATTAAACCAAATGAAGTAAATGAAATCCAACACT